GAGGAGAATACCAGGAGAGGCCAGACCATCCAGAGTTGCAGACACTGAAGTCTTGACTCACATACGCCACCGGGAGACTAGAGGAGAGGAGAGACCCCACCTGCACCCACTCGAAGAAGGGATGAGAAGATGACAGTATAAGAATACACTCAACAACAGAAAGACCATTATGATACCACCAGAATTTAGGGACTCCACCCTAGTAAGACCTGAAAAGCCCATCACAGAGGAAGAAGAAGAGATGGACCTTAAAAGCTATCTTATGAAGATGATAGAGACTCTTAAAGAGGAAACAAGAAAAACCCTTAAAGAAATAGAAGAAAACAAAAAACAAAAAACACGAGAAATGGAGGAAAAAAAACAAACCAAAAAATTCAAGAAATAATCAAATCTCTTAAGGAATCTAAAGAAAGCCAAGAAAAAAACAACCAGACAAGTGAAGAAAACAATTCAAACAGTTCAAGGCTTGAAAGCTGAAATAGAAACAATAAAGAAAACACACAATGAGGGGATGTTGGAAATGGAAAAGCTGGGTAAACGATCAGGAACTACAGATGAAAGTATAACCAATAGAATACAAGAGGTGGAAGAGGGAATCCCAGGTGTTGAAGACTCACAGTCATTGACCAAAGAAAATCTCATGTCCAACAAATCTCTAACACAAAATATCCAGGAAATATGGGACACCATGAAAAGGCCAAACCTAAGAATAATAGGTATAGAAGAAGGTGAAGAAATACAGCTCAAAGGAACAGAAAATATATTCAACAAAATCATAGAAAAAAAACTCCAACCTAAGGAAGGATATGGCTATGAAAGAACAAGAAGCTTACAGAATACCAAATAGACTGGACCACAAAAAGAAGTCCCCTTGCCACATAATAACCAAAACACCAAACTTACAGAATAAAGAAACAATATTAATAGCAGTAAAAGAAAAAGGCCAAGTAATATATAAGTGCAAACCTATCAGAATTACACCCAACTTCTCAATGGAAACTATGAAAGCCAGAAAGTCTGGGTAGATGTTCTACAAATGCTAAGGGAGCATGGACGCCAGCCCAGACTACTGTATCCAGCAAAGCTTTCTATCACTATAGATGGAGAAAATAAGATATTCCATGACAAAACCAGATTTAAACAATACATATCCAAAAATCCAGCCGTACAGAAAGTACTGGAAGGAAAACTCCAACCCAACGAAGATAACTACAATCACAAAAAAATAGGAAATACATAATCCCACTTTACCAAACACCAAAAGAAAGAAGGAGGGAAATCCACACATAATAACACCACCAACAACAAATCCAAAACAAACAAAAATCAACAATCAATGGTCATTAATATCCCTCAATTTCAATGGTCTTAACTTGCCTATAAAAAGATACAGGCTAACAGAATGCATACAAAGTCAGAACCCATCCTGCTGCATACAAGAAACACATCTCAACATCAAAGACAGACGTTTCCTCAGAGTAAAAGGTTAGGAAAAGATTTTCCAATAAAATGGACCCAAGAAACAAGCTGGTGTAGCAATCTTAATATCTAACAAATTAGACTTTAAACTAAAATCAATCAAAAGAGATGAAGAAGGGCATTTCATACTCATCACAGGAAAAGTTCATCAAGATGAAGTCTCAATTCTGAACATCTATGCCCTAAATACAAAGGCACCCACATACATAAAAGAAACATTAGTAAAACTCAAATCACACATAAAGCCTCACTTATTGTAGGAGACTTCAACACCCTGCTCTCACCACTAGACAGGACCACCAGACGGACACTTAACAAAGAAACAAAGGAGCTAACCGAAGTTATGACCCAATTGGGGTTAACAAATATCTATAGGATATTCCATCCAAACACAAAAGAATATACCTTCTTCTCAGCTCCACATAGAACCTTCTCTAAAATTGACCACATACTCAACAACATAGCAAACCTACATAGATACAAAAAAAATAGAATAACCCCCTGCATTTTATCAGACTACCATGCTTTAAAGTTAGAATTCAACAACACAAATTGCAGAAACCCTACAAACTCATGGAAATTGAGTAATTCGTATTTGCACCATTCCTGGGTCAAGAAAAAAAAATAAAAAAAGAAACTAAAGACTTCCTAGAATTTAATGAGAATGCAGACATAACATACCCCAACTTTTGGGACACTTTGAAAGCAGTGCTAAGAGGAAAGTTCATAGCACTAAGTGCCCACATGAAGAAACTGGAGAATAGTCACACTAGAGAATTAACAGCACAACTTAAAGCTCTATAACAAAAAGAAGCAAATTTACCCCACAGGAGTAGATGCCAGGAAATAATCAAACTGAGGGCTGAAATCAATAAAGTAGAAACTAGGAAAACACTTCAGACTCAATGAAACAAAGAGTTGATTCTTTGAGAAAGTCAACAAGATAGACAAACCTCTATCCAAACTAACCAAAAGGCATAGAGAGGGCATGCTAATTAACAAAATCAGAAATGAAAAGGGGGAACATAACAACGGACACTGAGGAAATCCAGAGAATCATCAGGTTTGAAAACCTATACTCCACAAAATTTGAAAATCTAAAGGAAATGGACAATTTTCTGAATAAATATCACTTACCAAAATTAAATTAGCAATCTAAAAAAACCTATAACCCCTAATGAAATAGAAGCAGTTATTAAAAGTCTACCAACCAAAAAAAGCCCAGGGCCAGATAGTTTCACTGCAGAATTCTAACAGAAATTCAAACAAGAACTAATACCAGTACTCCTCAAATTGTTCCACACAATAGCAGCAGAAGGGACATTGCCAAGCTTTTTTTTTTTCGAGGATACAATTACCTTGATACCCAAGCCAACAACAAAATACTGGCAAATCTGAACCAAAAAACACATCAGAGAAATCATCCACCATGATCAAGTTGGTTTTATCCCAGGGATGAAGGGATGGTATAACATACAAAAATCCACCAATGTAATCCACCATATAAACAAACTGAGAAAGAAAATTTACATGATCATCCCACTAGATGTTGAAAATTCAACATCCCTTCATGATAAAGGTCTTGGAGAGATCAGGCATAACAGGAACACCGAAACATAATAAAAGCAATACACAGCAAACCAACATCAAACTAAATGGAGAGAAAATCATTGTGATGCCTCTAAAATCAGGAACAAGACAAGGCTGTCCACTCTTTCCATACCTCTTCAATATTGTACTAGAAGTTCTAGCTAGAGCAATAAGACATCAAAAGGAGATCAAAGGGATACAAATTGGAAAGGAATAAGTCAAACTTTCACTATTTGCAGATGATATGATATATAGCCCTACTATATACAGATCAGAAAAATGGGAATCAGCCTACCTCAAGATCCAGCAATTCCTCTCTTGGGCATATACCCAAAGAATGCACATTCATACAATAAGGACATATGTTCAACTATGTTCATAGCAACATTATTTGTAATAGCCAGAACATGGAAGCAACCTAGATGCCCCTCAACTGAAGAATGGATAGAGAAAATGTGGTACATTTATACAGTGGAGTACTACTCAGCAGAAAAAAAAAAAACAATGGAATCTTGAAATTTGCAGGCAAATGGATGGAACTAGAAGAAACCATCTTGAGTGAGGTAACCTAGTCACAAAAGGATAAACATGATATGTACTCACTCATATATGATTTTTAGACACAGAGCAAAGGATTACCAGTCTATAAGCCACACTGCCAGAGGAGCTAGGAAACAAAGAGGACCCCAAGAGAAGATTGCATAGTCCCTTGAAGAGGGGGAGGGGGAAAAGAACCACTGAACAAAGTGGGAGCATAGGGCGTAGGTGGAGAGGAAGGAGGTGGGAAGAGGAGAAGGGGAGGGGGAGGAGAACAAGAAGACTGAGACAGGGGAGGAATAGAGGAGGTCAAGGAAGGAAATGCCTTGATAGAGGGAGACAGTACAGGTATGGAGAGAGGTCTGGCACAGGGGCAATGTTAGGGGATCCACAGGGATGACCCCAACTAAGAATCCAAGCCGTGGTGGTGAAAATGCCAGTGATTCCCTTCCCCTATAATGAGATTGGTGTCTACCTTGCTTACCATTCCTAGAGTCTTCATCCAGTAGCTGTTTGAAACAGAAACAGGCACCCACAGCTAAGCACTGAACCATACTACTGGGATTCAGTTGTGGAGAGGGAGGAGAGATGAGCAAAGGAGCCAAGATGGGGATGGAGAGACCTGCAGAAACAGTGAACCTGACCTAATGAGAGCATGGAGACCCTAGTCATAAAACTTCAGAAATATCATTGGACCGAACTAAGCTCTCTGAATGTGGGTGCCAGCTAGGAGTCCAGGCAGTCTATGGGACCTCTAACAGTGGAGCCAGTCTTCAACCCTAGACTTTGGGATCCCATTCCCTATGGAGGAATACTGTTGCAGCCCAGATACAGCAAGGAGGGCCTGGGCCCTCCCACAAACGATATGATAGACTTTGAAGGTCCCTAGTGGAGAGCCTCACTGTCCCTGGGAAGTAGTTGGGGATGGGTAGGGAGGTTGGTGAGGAACATGGGAGGATGGGAAGGCTAGGGAATGGGGAGATGGATATGTAAATATGAGTGGTAATAAAAAAATTAAATAAAAAGAGAAACTAGGAAAACATTACAAAGACTCAATGAAACAAAGAGTTGGTTCTTCAAGAAAATCAACAAGATAGAGACAAACCTCTATCCAAACTAACCAAAAGGCAGAGAGAGGGCATGCTAATTAACAAAATCAGAAATGAAAAAGGGGACATAATTAGTTTTACTGTTTGAGTTTATATGGTTTCAGTGCTGACTACAATTTCAATGAATGACAAATTAGGGAGCTTGTCCCTGATTGGTGCTAAGCCTTCCTGTCTCAGCAGTCATTAGTTTTCTATAGTTCCTTATCTAGGAGCATGGTCTTCTGAGATTCACCCACCCCTTCTTTTTAGCATGTCTTTTGTTACTGCCTTTATTTAGATCTTGTTTATATAGAGATTTCTATGAGACATTTTTTTTCCCACAGAAGTGTCCCAAACTTACAGTCTCCACCTGCAGCTTCTGTGATGTCCCCTGTGTCATAGATGCTGGAGTTGTGATGCAGGTGAGTCCACTGGGACTAGGGTCCATACATTTTGTTGATTTTTGCTCTGGGTCTACTTGTAGATTATGGTGATTATCTCTGTTTGCTATAAAGAAACTCTTCTTTGATAAGGGGTCTGTTGATCATATTTGTTTTCTTAAAAGATCAGCTCTTTGATTCACTGCATTCATTGATTCTTTGTAGTGTTTTCTTTGTTTCTAGTTCACTCATCTCTGCTTTAACTTTTATTATTTGTTGCCATACACTGCTTGGGGTTTGGTTCTTGTTTTCCCAAATTCTTGAGTTGCATCATTAATTCGTTTATTCTTCTTTGTGATTTTTTAATGTAGACACTTAAGACTATGAACTGCCCTCTTAGAACTGTCACAGAGGTTATGTTGTGTTGTGTTTCCATTTTCATTCAGGTAAGGATTATTTTTCTTTTTTGATTTCCTCTCTGACCCATTCAATAATGAGTTATTAATCTCTGTGAGTTTATATGTGTACTGCAGTTTTATTTGCTGTCAACTAAGTTTTATTATACAGTGGTCAGATAGGATGCATGGCATTATTTCAATTTTCTATATTTCTTAAGGGTTTCTCTCTGTCCCAGCATTTGTTCTACTTTAGGGGAGCATCTCTGTGCTTCTGAGAAGAATGTATGTTCTTTGGTGTTTAGGCAGAATATTATTTTAATTATCTGTTAGATCCATTTGATGATGATGGCATTTTTATTCTGAGGTTTCTTTGTTTATTTTTTGGCCAGATGACCTATCTATTTGAAAAATTGGGGTTTTGAAATCACTTACTATCTTTGCGTTTGTTTTCATCTGTGGCGTAATTCTACCAAATACATGCTTATGAAGTTGGCACCAGATTTTGGTGCCTATTTGGTAAGTATTATAATATTTTCTTGATTAACTGATATTTTGGTCAGCATGAAGTGCCTTTCTTTGTCTCTTCTGGTTCATTTAGTTTGAAGTCTATTTTGTCATGTATTAAGATGGCAAATATCCATTTGCTTCCCGACACTATGTCATCACATCCTGATATTCTGTCTTTTGTTTGCTTCATTATATTGGTAAGGCTTTACTCTGAGCTTTCTAACTGGATACAGAATTTTTCAATTTTCATCTTTATTTTAGCCATTGATCTTGAGCTAGGCCACTAGGCATAGAGATGGCCCCAATGGGAAATGGTGGGGTGATAGGAAGGGGAAGAAGTGATTTACCCAGCAAATATGGCTCACAAACATGGTTCACAACCTTGGTTCAAGAATAGGCTTATGGGGCTGGAGAGATGGCTCAGAGGTTAAGAGCACCGACTGCTCTTCCAGAGGTCCTGATTCAATTCCCAGCAACCACATGGTGGCTCACAACCATCCGTTATAAGATCTGGTGCCCTCTTCTGGTGTGCAGATATACATGGAAGCAGAATGTTGTATACATAATAAATAAATAAAATCTTTAAAAAACAAAGAATAGGCTTATGGGTTTGCAGAGAAAGTGAAAAACCAACTTCCCCAACAAAGGTAACAGCAAAACATGGAGGCCATGCCTCCTGCTGGTCTAAAGCAAAGCATGTGGATTTGGTGATAAAAGTAAGAAGGAATGGGATGGGAAACAGAAGACTTTTCCAACAAAGGTGACTCACAAACAAAGAGGGTTTCAGCTTGGATCTGGAACAGCGCTGTGGGTTCCCAGATGGCTGTGGTTTAGAGGAAAGGGGAAAAAAGAGACACTCAGAAAAAGTGACTCACAACCCTAAAATAGTTGTATTTTTGTATTCAAACTCTCCATTTAGGAAAATACACTCATATCATGCTACTGTGATATTTACTTACATGACAATTACTTCTTGCTCTCCTGTATGGTAGTGGTGGAGTCTCTAAATGTATAATTAGAAATTATTATCTTTATCTGTGAGGGACTGAACCCAGATTTCATGGTTTAGAGGAAGGTGCTCTGTGCATCTGCTGCTCCTCTAGTCCTATTTTTCCTTTATTTTTGTATATCACCAAAGATAAGGCAAATATTCCCCATTTTATAAATGTTTCTTTCCTTAGATATCTGATTCATCAGAAGGCTGGACAGAAATAGTAGCATGTTTTACAACACAGCTGTACCTGGAGCTTCCTGTGTTGCCAAATGGACTCTTGAGCACCGAAAGGAATTCTCTAGAGGTCATACTTTTGAAAACTGTCATCAAGACTTAAACATGATTTTTGCCAAGTGCAATAACACTAGAATGTTAATATTACAGGTGAAGCACAAATAACCCTCTTCTTTGGAGGAAAAAGGTAAAACCAGTCTAGCCATGCCTGATTTACATTCTGTTTTTGCTGTGTGTGATTGATACCTGTGATGTTACACATTAAACATGAAGTCACCCATACACCAAGAGAATACTTAACTATCGATCCACAGACCTAGCTTATCTTTTAGCCTATTGTGCAAGACAGGTGCTCTGCCACTTGGGCACATTCCCAGTCAATATTTTCTATGGGAAGGCACTTTCTCAAGGGGAATGCCAATAGGATCTCAGCCTGTGTTGTCTTTCATGTTTTATATAAAATAAAAAATTATTTTTCTATCCTAACAGAAAGAACTTTAGTGAATTATCAAGTGATATACATGTGCATAGCTACATATGAATTTACAATTTCATTAAAACCTATCCTCCATAGCATCTTTGTCTCTCCTTGCCTTCCCAGTGCATCTTTTAAACTTCTGTGTATGAACAACGTGTTGAGTATAAATGTTCCTAAGAGCTGATCTTAGCCATGGCCATTTCCAAGGGTGACAACAATAGCAATGGAGTGTCTTCTACATTGTGGTATCATAGGTAAGAATGAGAATTATTGTTGACCTAAAAGAGCTCATGACTGCCTACCCCAAGAGGAGATCAGGGAGGGTGAGCATCATTGACTTTGCCTTAGTGATCGTTCCTGATTCTTTGCAAGTATTTGTGAGAAACATTGTCCTGAACAGTTTCCATCATTTGAGGGGAGATTGAAAGGTACAATGCTCGTTGCCTCAAGTTCTCTGACAGGTTCTTTCATCCTTACTGGAACAAATTCAGTTTGTACCTGGAGAAGCATTGTTGTGTCACAAGGAAATACTTATTTTGTCTTCAGGTTGATTCTAGACCATTATTCCAGACAAACTACTCTCTTTGCTGGTTAGTTATGATGGGTACTGATTCTGTCAATAACAGTATTTTCCATCAGTCTGGCAATTCATCAGGATTATGGTCACTGTATATGGTCACTTAATTCTAGGAATAAAATGCTGAAAATTCCTTCCATTCTTTTGCTCAGTAAATTCAAGGGAGGTGAAGATTTCTTGATGAAATAATTATTTGTCAACCTCATAGGTATTATTTATCCTAGAAGCTTCTTTGGGTATACACATTATATTTTATACACTAATATATTCTACTGAGATGTGTTTTTACTAATTCTTCAATCACAGGAAATTGGCCTGAAGACATCTAGTCCATATCTATCTATTTTAATAAACGTTAACTTATAATTTGAACTAGGGAAAAGAAGATAGAGTTTATTGAATAGATTACATAAAATTCACTTAATATATGTTTTAATAATCATACAATTTAATCATTTATATCATTGTATCTAAGAACCTTACTATTTTAACAATTGCCATCCAAACAATTTGATTAATTTCATGATCCCATAGTGAATAAGTACATAGCTCATGATTTTAGTATCAACCTGTGCTTTCTCTTGCTCCTCTAACTAGGATGGTCCCATGTAAAAACCCCATTTTTCTTACATGTCATCACTGGCTTAGAGCTTTCCTGAAAAACCTAACTATAGCTCAATAGTTTGTCTTAACTTTTTGGCAGTTGCTATTAGTCAATACAATGGTACATTGTACTGATTTCGAAGATCAGGAAAAACCTCATTTAACTGTGTGAATACTGTCATAGGTTTGAAATGAACAGGAGGAGAGAAGTCTTATAATTATTTTATGAGAATTATACTGCATGTACACACACCACATGTCATATTTGTCATGTTTGGCATCCATTTACAGGGTATTGTTAGTTTATTCTCAGTTTTGTTTTCTCTTGAACCTTCCCAAGTAAAGGAAGGTTTTCCTTTTTACCAGGCTTCTTAAAATTTTAATATACATTTTACTTTTCTTCAAGTTTCTTTAAATGCAGGGTAGAAATTTTGTGAGCTGAGTATTGCCTCTTGTTTCCAAGGAATCTTTAAAACTTATAAAAATATCCTGAGCACAGCAAACTAGATTCAACATCCTAGGCAAATGCTTGTTCTGATGGAACACCCAAAGCTAGAAAGCAGTATTCTGTGAAGGTGAAATTTAAGCAGTATCTATCAACAAATCCAGCTCTACAGAAGGAGCTAGAAGGACAATAGTAATCTGAAGAGGTTATCTCATCCCCCACCTCATACACATGAAATGGAATGAATAACCCTAGACTTGCAAATAAAAAGAGGATGTGAAAAACCCCCAGCATAACAATGAAATAACAGTAACAATAAATGCTGTTCATTGATATTTCTCAATATTAATGACAACAGTTCTTCAATAAAAAGACAGAGACCAGCAGATTGGATTAGAATTCAGGATATGTAAACTCAGGTAAAAGGATCAGAAAAGATATTGTAAGCAAATGAACCCAAGAAGCAATCAGGTGTAAGCATCTTACTATCTGAGAAAGCAGGCTTCAAGTAAAATTGATCAGAGAAGAACGGGGAAGGACACTGCATACTCTTTAAAGGAAAAAAAAAACTACTACGAGGATATTGCAATTCTAAACATTTATGCATCAAACACAAAGGCACCCAGGTTCATAAAAGAAACATAATTACAGCTAAAATTGCATAATTACTCCCACACAACTAGTATTTTTATGGGATTCCTGAATGTGAGAGTCAGTGGGTCTCTGTTCTTGTGATTTCTCCTTGGCTCTTTCTTGTTTGTTTGTCCAACTCCAATGTCTTAGGGTTTTTTATCTTATTACATTTTTTGATTCTATTATTATCTGTTAAAAAACTTGTTTGATGAGAGTCAGAAAAGAAGTAGATCCTCAGGGAGAGGGAAGTAGGGAGGAACTAGAAAGATTGGGGAGTATAATCATTATATAGTATTAAAACAATAAAATTATTTTGTGAGAAAAAATCTATTGTCGATAAAATAAAAAATATGTACAATACCCAACGCAAAATGTAAAAGAAATGGATGAATCTACTGATATGTACACCTATCAAAGCTCAATCAAGATCAGATAAGCATTTTAAACAGATCCATAACAGCTGGTGAAGTAAAGCAGTAATTAAGTCTCCCAGGGTAAAAAAGACCAGGACCAGATGGATTCTGTCTAGAACTGTACTATACCTTCAAAGAAGAGTGAATGCCAATACTCCTCTGGTTGTTCTTAAAATAGAAACAGAAGCAACATTGCCTAATAATTTTAAAAGGCCATAACTACCCTCATATATACACCACAAAAAGTCCAACCAAAAATGAGAATTACAGACTAATTTCCCTTATGAACATAGATACAAACATTCTCAACAAAACATTTGCAAATCAAATTCAAGATCATGGGCTGGATAGATGGTTCAGAGGTTAAGAGTACTGACTGTTCTTCCAGAGGTCCTGAGTTCAGTTCCCAGCAACCACATGGGGCTCACCATGTGAGATCTGGTACTCTCTGCTGGCGTGCAGGCAGAAGACTGTATACATAATAAATAAATAAAATCTAAAAAAAAAACAAATTCAAGATCATATCAAAAAAAGTTATCCACCATGATCAAGTAGGCTTCATCCCAGAGATGGTTCAACACACACAAACTGATAAATGTAATCCACCATAAAAAATAAACTAGAAGGCACACTACATGATTATCTAATTAGATGCTGAAAAGGTCCTTGACAAAAAAATCCAACAACTCATGATAAAAAACCTTGGAGAAAGTAGGAATACCAGGGGGCAAATGTCAACATAATAGATGGTATTCACAAGTCTATAGTCAATATCAACTTAAATGGAAAGGATAGGTATCTATTTCTTTAGATGAGGGAACTTTTCTTCTACAATTTTTTTTACAAAGATGTGTTCTATGCCTTTGATCTGGGTTTCTTCTCCTTCCTCTCTATGTTACTCATGGGCTTAGACTTTTCATACTGTCTCTGTGCCTGGATAATGTTTCCTTTTTCTTTGATGGAGTCATTGACACCTTCTTCCTTGACTTGTAGACTGGAAAATTGTCTCTGTCATGTTTTGTGATCTGTTGATGAGGCTTACCTATGAAATTTTTGTTTAACATCTACTATTTTCATTTCCAATTTTATTTCACTTTGTGTTCTATTTGACAATTCTAATTTTATTACTTTCTATTTCTGAAAGGTTTTCATTATTAAACTAAACTGCTGTTTTCATGGTCTCCATGAAGTCATTTATGCATATCCTCTTTAAGAGTATTTTCTCGTGTTGGTGGTGCACGCCTCCAGCACTCGGGAGGCAGAGGCAGGCGGATCTCTGAGTTCGAGGCCAGCCTGGTCTCCAGAGCGAGTGCCAGGATAGGTTCCAAAGCTACACAGAGAAACCCTGACTCGAAAAAAAGAAAAAAGAGTATTGCTGAATGTCCACTCTCTCTGTATCTATCCTATATAATACATGAAGTCTTAGCTACAGCATTTATACAGTTGAACCAGATCAAAGGAATACAAATAAGAGAGGAAGCAGTCAAGATCTCCTTATTTGCAAGTGATATGGTTTTATATACAAAATCCCCAAAGACTCTACCAGAAAAATTCTACAACGGAGAAACACTTTCAGCACAGGAAAAGATATAAAAGTAACACAAAAACCAGTAGCCATTCTTCATACAAATGACAAAAACACTCAAACGATAATCAGGAAAACAGTACCTTTCACAATAGATTTCAAAACAAAACATCTTGGTATAATTCTAGCCGAGCAAATGAAATACTTGCATAATAAAAATGTTAAGGCCTTGAAGAAAGAAAGTGGTGAAGGCACCACACAATGGAAATATCTCCCATGCTAGTTGACCACTAGGATTAATATTGTGAAAATGGACATCCTATCAAAAGTCACTTGCAGATTTAATGCCTCCCTTATGTTTCAGGACATAGAAAGAGAGAGGCAGAATGTTTGACAGAATGCCTCCTAAAGACTTCCAGCCAAAATCCTACCTCTTTTGGTAGGCCCCATGCCCAGCAGTAGATGACAACATAAAACAACTCAAGTGAATCTTTGAAGGCTCATTGTCTCATAATGTTGTGTCATGGTTAATTTAGTTATTTAATTCAACTTAATTATTAATCTTTACTTATTAGTTCTCTATTTTTACCCAGATTCTTTGTATAATATTAAGGCTTCCTATTTTGTGTTTTAAAGGGATTCCTAAGTGTGTGAATGAGAGGGTCTCTTTATCCATATCTGTCTTTTGCCTTTTCTTGAGCTCTTTTCCTTCTGTTTGCTTGTTTTGTCCCATTCTGGTGTGTTAGCTTTTATTTTTATCTTAAAATATGTATTTTATTGTACTTATCCCTTAGAACCCTGTTTTTTCTCTAATGAGAGATAGAAAGGGGGTGGATCCAGATAGGAGCAGGAAGTAGGGAGGAATTGGAAGTAGTAGTGGAAGGGGAAACCACAATAAATAG